AGATCCCTGACAGCAATCCTCAAGTAACAATACTCAGAGTTGAAACCTTGCTTGGTACAGCCAGCACTTCCAAAGAAATTTCATGCATCAAAAACACACACATATGACACATATGTAAATAATCAAACTACAAATCACCAGTACGAGTTTCGCGGTCTATCACAATTCTTACATGGAATTGGTTCATATCTGGTTGGTCGTTTCAACCCCTCTGAAAAATATTAGTCAGATTGGATCATCATCCCAACTACTGGGGAACATAAAAAATGTTCCAAACCACCAACCAGATATTGTTTCAACCTTTTTAGCATCATGTTGGTAATGCAATTAGTTACCCCATGAAACCATCCCAAATTTCATGACCAACCTACCGAGAAAATAAACGTCTTCAACCGTCCCCAGTTAGTTTACTCTCTGTTTTGATGGGTTATGTATCCCTCTCCATATTTTGCTGGGTTCAACATGATTATAATGATTAAAGCCACACGTTTCATGGTTTAATTTCATGTCTCCGTATCCCCCTGTCGGGGTCAATCATTTCGACCAACAATTTTCCGGAAATGCCCGGAAATCCCCCGGCATCTGCCACCTTCTCATTCATTTTAATGAGTTCCTCCTGGCACTTGTGCGAAGGATATACAATTGATCGCAAAGAAGGCATAAGTTGGTGTTTTACATTTATGAAATTATCTGGGATGACAATTTCAGATTTCTTAAGACTATTGCAATAAAATCATAAATAATCCAAACAATATCATTCAGCATCCGTCAGAAGGAAGCATCGCTGTATCACTTGAAGATCGCTGGATCACGCTCAGCAACTTCCAATACAAAGCTTCTTTGTAAAGTTGTAGCAAACTTTATGATGCTGAATGTTTCAAGAACAGTGATAAAATGTCACTTCAAAGGTCTGTAGAGGTCTCTAATAATAGCTATCTTTACAGGCCCATGTTGCCCACTTCCCTTGTCCTTTCACCCAGCTTCCCAGCTTCGGAGCTCCTCTTCGAGAACACCATTGGCCTTCAAATCGTGAAGATCGAAGAGTTTCTGGAGGAGTTCTTCCACACGCTCCTGAGATACTGGAGGGTCAACTAATACCATGGGCTAACCCCGAGAAAAGACTCACCAGCGTCTAAAAAGAGACTTAGCGCTTGCGAAGTGGCTGCTAACAATACGAAATAACCCAGTGAGACATGTTTTTTCACAAAACCATTGGGACACACCCCAGACAAGTAACCTAAGTAGTAGTAACAATAGTAGCTCATGTATATGGGATAGTCGCATTAGAGAACTGACTGAACAGAGTTACAGTATCAACCAGTTGTGATCCATGGGAGGAAATTGCTTAATCATAAGATCCACCTCTCTCTCTCTGTATATACACATATATACACACATAATGTATGTATATATACATATGTATGAATGAATATGTATATTATATGTATATAAATTATATATATATATATTCAAGTGATTATCATCATCACATCAAGACATTATCCCGTGATCCCGAAAACTATTTCTTTAAAGTGACTGATGATATACCACACCCTCTGGTAAACATTAGGTCATAAATCATCTATAAATCTATAGGTCATCTTATAGAACAGCTATATGTTAGTTAGTTTACCTGAAAATTTCTAGGGAATTGTCCCATATGTTTCCCACTAAAACAACTCCATTCCAGGCCCCGAACCTGGGCCTTGGCCTTGGAGGCGCTTGAGGCGCTCGACCTGGTTTCATGGAAATATCATGGGGAATCTATTGGAAGAATGGGAATCATATGGGATTCTAAAAGAGTATAACCATTTTCTAGGGATTTATGGGGAAATAATGATATATATATATTATAATTATATAATAAATAATTGATGGGATATAAGAAACATCAAGTATGACATGTGGGAAGAAACCGAGATGAACAACAATGAAATAGATCTGAACACAGAATGACACAATTTTATGTTGATCCCAAGAAAAAAAACAGGAATTTGCGCATGATCCCCAGCATCCCCAATGTTTTCACAAACCCAAAAATACAATCTTATAGTTAAGGTTACTCATATATATATATATATAGCCAATTAATATATGTATTAATATAATATGAGTAATATGAGTAAACACCATATCATAAAATATCATAAACATATCCATCATGGATCCATACCCATGACGGATCCATGGTGCTGGTATATATGCTAACATGACTGGGGTATATTGATGGGATCCATGTTACCATATATAGCAGCACCATGGATCCGTCATGGGATATGGTGATGACTCCACCTCGACGACGTGGCGCCAGCATAGCCGGTTCCTGCGGCTCCGGCGGGCAACCTGGGAGGAAACTGCGTCGATGGTCGTCCAAACGTTGCCAGCTTTTAGAGGGAAATGAATGCTCAAAAAATGCAGTATATGTATACATATGCTATATTTATACACATTTGTGTATTTGAAATCATATCTATATATAATTATACATATATATATATATGTGTTGAAACAAACAAGAGGTGGGTGGTTGCCAGCTCCCCTGATGAAAGTTCTAAACTTTTAGCGGTAGTGCATAAATTATGTATGTATTCAAACACATCCTACATGTCCCAGGCGGCTACTGAGCGGTTCTTTGTACACATCCTACAGGCTGTTGAACATCAAACTCTTGAGTCGTGCAGAAGCATCAAAGCAGCATACAGGGGCTCGGAGAATTGGGAGAACACCAAAAACTTTGCCATAACATGATCAGTTATCTCTATATATGTTACTAGTATATATATATGTATATTTGTATACATATAATATGTGTATAAATACATGATTGTATATGCCAAGGCGGTTCCTGTCCCATCTTTGGGACTGGTTTTTTTTGAGCCGCCCATGCCACGAGCCATTGCTGCCAGGCTGCGGTGTTGTGCCCAGGAGTTTATTGGTCATGTGCGCTTGTGCTTGCCTGGAGACTGAATTGGCTTTAAGGGAACACAGGAAAGCACGGATTTACCAGTACCATCTCCAGTAACATTTAAAGCCATGGAAGCCATCACCATGCTATTAATAGGTAAACATAGGTAAACCATCTACAAATGGGCCATTTTCCATGGCTATGTTAAATAACCAAAGGGTAATATGGTGTACTATAAATCATAGGTACGTTCCTTGGATGGTAAGATTACTATAAATGGAACACTAAAAAAACACCATATCCTCATTCTGGTAAATGTTCCATTCAATCATGGTTTACAGGAAAATGGACGCTACTATTTAAGGGTAATCATAGGGGTTCCCTATACATGTTGCCATCATCCAATGCTGGGACCATGAATTGTGAGGGTCAAACCATATCAGAAAGTTTGGCCGAATGGCCTAGTGCGGTTACACCTCAAAGAAACCAGCATCTGGAAATGTTTCGCTAGTCATGAATTGTTTGAATATGTACATACTGTAGATATAAATTCATATAAACATGTATATATATATATAAATAAATAAATAAACGTACATTATATATGTATATGTATGTATACAAAATGGATGTATATATATATGTATATATATATATATATATATACAAACAACATCCTTCTGGAGATCACAGATTGATGCTTCGGGTAGGTGATTCAAATGCCATACAAAAAAGAAGCTGCTGCTGCCCTCTGGGAAATCCACCGATTCAAATGCAAAAAATGGTGAACATGATCAGCCGTCTGTGGCTGGCTGAAAGAGGCCCCAGATTTTGTGGGCCAAGTCATAATCTGCTGTGAAATTGTTATGTAACTACTATTAATTCCTAGTTTTTGGTTGTGTTAAAGGGTGAACATTAATATTTGTGATGGTTGAGAGTTGAAATATGTTGAAATGTGTTGATATTTCTGGTTGGACAATTGATGCCGTATAGCTTTGTAATCCGATTCTTCCTCCTCATTTTCCTCTTCAAAATGACATGTTTTTCGTGTAAAATCCACATTCCAGATGGGAGCAAAAACAACAAATAAATATATAAACCTCACCTGCTCCCCCCAATGTGGCTTTAATTATTCCGCAGTTGGTTGGAGCAACCCTGCTTGTTGATACTTTAAACCATCATTGTCATTCATTATTATTATCCCCATCAAAAATCATAAAAATGCCTAGCCTATTTCTTTTGGTATAATTCCCTCATGTTTTGATCCTTAACACCACCGGCCCGCATGGGCCCACCTCAGCTGCTGCAGCGTCATGGCATCCTGCTCCACTGCCGAGCGCTGCGGCGTCGCAGGTGTTGCGGAAGGCACTGTCAGCATCTGGCAATTTGCGTCACATCTCCCTATAGATTCACCGATTTTCCCACCTGCCAGGTGAGGGCCTCTAATTTTTACAAAGGTGCAACTCCTTCTCTTTCTTCTCCTCCTCCTCATTCCTCCTCCTCCGCCTTCTTCTCCTCTTCATCTCCTCTTCCAGCTCCGGATGCAGTGGATTGCGCCTGGACCCGAAAATAAGCCAAAGGGAATGCCAGACATAATGCCAGATAGAATGCCATAAATAATGTCAGATAGAATGTCAGAAAAAATGTCAAATAGAATGTCAGAATATGTATGAATATGTATGTGTATATATATATACATAAAAATATATTATGTCATATATACTTTCAGATAATATGTCAGAATCTATGTCAGAATAGCGAGTCAGGGTGGGGATCACTTGAAGAAAGCAATTGGTAGATTTAATGGGATTTAGCCGCGATTGAGTTGATAAACATAACTCCAATTTCCGGCAGATCTAAGGTTTCCTTCTCACAGACTTGTCTGTTCTTATGTAAATGGCTAAACATACTCAAACGGTTGATATATATATATATATATATTATTGTCATTCTTAATGATAATTATTACTATTATTATTTTTATTTCTATTATTATTATTTTACATAGAGCACATTTTCATGTAACATTAGATATGATGGTTATCATTCTTTTAAAACAAAAAACAGCCTGTTTTCCTCTGAAAATTTGGCTGGTACCTCGGCAGCTCGCCCATATCGCGAGGCCCACAGAGCCACGGCCTTTTTTCAGGCGAGCGAATAAAGGGACATCTATATGGGAATCTGTTCAATGATCTGATTGGAAAATCAAGGAAACTCATGGAAAATCAAGGAAAATCATCGAAACTCATGGAAAATCATGGAAACTCATGGAAAATCAAGGAAACTCATGGAAAATCAAGGAAACTCATGGAAAATCAAGGAAAATCATCGAAACTCATGGAAAATCATGGAAACTCATGGAAAATCAAGGAAAATCATGGAAACTCATGGAAAATCAAGGTGCAAAAGGGTTCATGTACATGACTGTGCAATTGGACAGGTGTAGTATCTGTTCATATCATGTGACAAAAGCCTATGACCGTGTAGGCTCCTTTAGGATCAAAAAGTCGCGCTGCTCTGCCTAACACAGGTTATGAGCCCAACGCTCAGCTGAAGGGGCGTTTGCCATGTCGTGGACTAGAGCGAGTTCGGTGCCAACTGGTAGAGGTGGACCTCGAGGTCTACGGCTGGATCAAGAAGGCCGACCAGGGCATGGAGGCGAATGAGCTGGACATGATGGCAGAGACCTTCGGCATGGAGAACAAGGAGCTCTACCCAATGGCAGTGATGGTCAAGGTGGAGGACGAGCTCTACTACGAGGCGAACATGGAGGGGCTCTACGGCAAGAACTGGATGTGAGCACTGACCTGTTGGACTTAGGCACCGAGCCGAATCCGTGGTGGTCAGCAGGGGTTCAGCAAGAACACCTACGAGAAGCACGTCAGTTGACCATGGAGCAGCCGATGTGGACGCCAAGGGAAGAGGTCTCAGTCAAGGAGGACCTTCCGGAGATAGAAGATGCAGACGCGTCGCGAGAGTTGGAGCCGCTAGCAATGGGACGAATGAGTGCTCCGTCAAGTTGGAGTACAAGACGAGGTGTGGCCTTGCAGACTCAAGGGGCTATGCCATCAAATGATGATGAAGATCTTCGGCATCCTCAAGATGTTGGACAAGGTCAACATGTTGTACAGATTCAAGGTGTAGACCTTCGACATCCTCAAGATGTTGGACAAGGTCGACATGCAGTACACCCTCAAGGTGTGGACCGACAGTATCCTCAAGATGCTGGACAAGGTCAAGGCCTTCGGTATCCTCAAGATGCTGGACAAGGTCGCCGTGAAGTACACCCTCAAGGTGTGGACCTTCGACATCCTCAAGATGTTGGACAAGGTCAACATGCAGGACACCCTCAAGGTGTCGATCAATTTGCACACTCTCAAGGTGTGGGCCTTCGGTATCCTCAAGATGCTGGACAAGGTCAACGTGCTGGACACCCTCAAGGTGTCGAACAATGTGGACACCCTCAAGGTGTTAGACGTGATGGGCACCCTCAAGGTGTCGAGCAAGTTAGGCACCCTCAAGGTGTCGATCAAGATGAACACCCTCAAGGTGTTGAACAAGTTGGGCACCATCGAGGTGTCGCGACAGGGCTACTTGCTGGAGAAGTGCAACGTTCTGGCAAGGGGCATGGTCAAGGAAGAGTTGTGCAGCCCAATGGGATGGGAGGGGAGATACCATCTCATGGGGTTGCAAGACAAGGTGGGAAGACTGGAGGACTGGGAGGTGAGATACCAGTTCAAAGGTCTGACATCATGCAAGAGGCTGGACACCATCGAGGAGTCAGCCGTCATGGACCCTCAAGGTCTGAAGGAAATGTGCAAGAGACTGGACGCCACCGAGGAGTCAGTCATGGTTATGGACCTGAACGACGTCAAGTTCAAGGTCATCGAACAGTACCAAGTGGTCTGCGAGATCAATCTCAAAGACGAGGTCATCGGCAAGATGATGGATCACCCTTGGAAAGAGTTCCAATGGGAGTGCAACAGTATGAGATGAGACGACAGATGCCACGTGAGGCAAGTCGGCAACCACAAGGTGGAGTACAAGGTTGTAGCACAACTACCTTTGTGGACGATGTCAATCAACAAGGAAGAGATGAGCGTGATGAGCCCAAGCGGGCTTTGGAGCAATCAATGGTTGAAGAGCTTCACAGACAGAAGCTTGAGATGGAAAAACAAAAGGAAGAGATGAAGAAGTATGCTGAGGACTTGCAACGCCAGCGTGATGAGTTTGAAAAGAAGAATGAGGAGTTGCAGAAGGAGCTCAAGAAGAAGAGTTCAAGCGTGGAACCACCAAGGACACCACCGCGCCGACCTCAGTACTACTCGCTGTCACCAAGAACAACACCTGGAGGAACTCAAGTTCCGCCGGGACAACCATCACGGGAGGTAGCAGATCTTCCAGAACTTCCACCATGGCAGTTTGACCCATTTGCTGTTGATGAGCACGTGGGTGGTGGAACAGGTTTTGATGGTTTGGAGGATTTTTGGACTCCAGTGGATCAACAACCACAACAGCAGCATCATCTTCAACCTGGAGCAGATCGTTTTGCATGGTTGGACAGAGAGGTCAGGATGATGCATGGCGAAAGACCAAGGTTGACAGGTGAGTACTGGGAGCAACCGGTGCACAGACATGGTGGTCCACCAGCGGATTTTGGTTATGTTCCGCAACCACCACCACAACCGCCTCAAGGACATGGAGTTGGACCTTCTGGTGTACCAATGTATGCAGCACCAATGCAATATGGTTCAGTGCCACTGCAATGGCAACAACCTCAACCACAAGCAAAAAGTCCTGATGGCGAAGCTTCTGAGGTGCTGAGAAATGTGCCAATTACACTGCCAATTTTGAAGGACGTGTCAGAGCCTCAAGCTGCTCTTCGTGCAGGAGATTGGTTAAGTGAGTTGATGCCGCTGATCTCAGATGTCTCAGAAGGCGCAAGAGTGTGGTGGACCGGATTAGTACAACGAGCTCAAGATGCCTATGCAACATGGCTGACAGCGGGTCCAATGGATCGCATGGCTGTGCAACCTGACCTTCAAGTGGAGAACAAGTATGTCAGGTTGGAGTCTCGCGTGCTGTCAATGCTGTTAGCTGCAGTGCCACAGACGGTCAAACAAGAAGCAATCTCTTTGCGAGAGATGACATGCGTGCAGTTGGTGTTTCGCATTTTGAAGCTGTACCAACCTGGTGGTCTCAACGAGAAAAGCACCATCCTCAACAACTTGACTCAAACCACAGCAGCCAAATCTGCAGCTGAAGCTGGTGAGATGCTACGCCAATGGCGACGTCAACTCCTGCGAGCTCGTGAACTTGGACTACAGGTTCCAGATCCCTTGCTGCAGGTGAGCGCACTTTCTGAAGTGATGCGGACAGTGATTGCGAAGGAGCATCAAGCGAGCTTTCGCATCAGCAACTTCCGCATGACCCATATGGTGGATGTGGCGCCTACACAGCTCACAGCGGAGAACTATCTGCAGATGTTGATTGCCGAAGCGGATCACTTGCATCATGGAACAATGACGAAGGCAAGTCCGACTTCTGGCAACCCCAAGATCAACGTGGTCAATGCTGCTGGTGACAAGGGTGGTGGCAAGAAGGGATCTCCTGGTAAGAAAGGCTATGGCAACAATGCAGAAGGCAATGCTTATGGTGCAGGAGCTGGAGCATGCAGGCATTGGGGTAAACCTCAAGGATGCCTCAAGGGTGACAGATGCACCTATACCCATGAGTGGAACAATCTCAACGACAAAGAGAAGAGATGTTGGAAGTGTTCCAGTTTGGAACACATTGCCAAAGACTGCACCGCTGGTGACAAGCTTACGACAAGTCCGGGCGACAAAAGCTCCAAAGGAAGCCCTAAAGGCAAGGGAAAGACAAAGGATGGCAAGAACGACAAGGGCAAAGGCAAGGACCGGGACAAGCCGGTCGGGGGAGTGGATCAGTCTTCAAAGGATTCACAGCCTCAAGTTGCCCAGATACAACAGCAACCTCAAGTTGCCCAGATACAACAGCAACCTCAAGTTGCCCAGATACAACAGCAACCTCAAGTTGCTCAGGTACAACAGCAGCCTCAAGTTGCTCAAGTACAACAACAAGTTCAGCCCTCAGTCATGGGTGAAGTTGCCAGTCTTTTGAAGACAATGCGAACAGCGTCAACGACTCCAAGGGTGTTGGCGGTGGTGACTGACAGCAATCAGGGTGTGCTACTGGACTCAGGGGCCACGCATATCCTTAGAGGACCCTATGATGAGACTGAGCGGATGCAGGCGATCCCAACAGAGGTACAAACAGCGACTGGAAAAACACAGCTGAGGATGTCAAAGATGAGCAGATCGTTGTTGACAAAGGATGATCTGCAGCCAATTGTGCCTTTGGGAATGTTGACTCAGCATGGATGCAAGATGAGGTGGCATCGCGATGGGTGCGCTCTCACACATGGCAAGCTGGGTGAAGTGAAAGTCACAGTTCGTGACAATTGTCCCTACGTGACCAATGATGTGGGGATGAAGCTCATTCGAGAGCTGGAAACTGCTGAGAAGAACAAGCAGTTGATGTTGAGAAGTTTGGAAGTCACAGGTTGGAAACAGGAAGACAAGGACATGGCCGACAAGCTCAAGAAGTTGTTTCCTGAAACACCTGTGGATTTGTTGCAACCTATGGTGAGCAAAGCTGGTGATGAGGCTCGATTGCCATGGAATCGCCATCAACGGCGACGCTTCAAGAAGGCCAAGGGCATTGTGCTGAATTTGTTTTCAGGTCCAGATCAAGCGTGGTGGTCAAAGAGAATGCCACACGACATCGAAGTGGTGAATGTGGATCTACTTCGAGGACAAGATCTTTTGGATTCAGCAGTTTGGCACTTTTTATTGCAGTTTGTGAGGTCGGGTCGAGTGGTTGCAGTACTTGCTGGCCCACCGTGCAGAACAGTATCAGCTGCACGTTACCGGTCTGATGGAGGACCGCGGCCTGTGAGATCGAGACATGGTTTACAGAGGTTTGGCCTGGATACCAACACGATGATGGAGCAACAGTTGGCAGACACTGACAGCCAGCTTTGGCTGAGAACGTTGCTCTTGATGTATGAGGCCAAGCTCTACAACCCTGACGTCAAGGCCGTAGTGGAGACTCCAGAG